ACAATAGCCTACAGCTTCATGGTTCTGAGACTGGTTTTTTTTTTTAGGCTTCACTAAGGCCTGGATGCATTATTCTAAATACTGTCAACACCTGTCTCTAATTCCACTCCCACAGAAAGACTTCAAAACAATTACACAGAATCTCAGATAAATGGACATGAAGAAGGTTCTCAGTTGGCAAACCTAGGCATTTTGGCACCTAAGGGTTCATCCCTCACTACATATGAATGAAGCGCCATTTTGGTTTTTGCATCAGTTTGGTTTATATGGTCTAGTGCTGGAGAGCCTCATCATTTCCTGGCATACAGAAACACAAAGCCACGGGCTGGGGGAGAGGGGTGTCCAGTGACTCCTGGTCCAGGAGGCTACCTGTTTTTCACTCTCTAGATTCAGGAGAGTAAATACTTTTTATCTCACTTGCCAGCAGTGGGTAGTGGCTCCTAGGAGAGTGTCATAAAGCTTGTGAGGCTCAGGGAGAATGAGTGGCATGATTGATTAGTCGTGTCTGCAACAAATTAGGGGCAGGGAGGGGTGTATGTAGATGGGTGGAATAGGAGTATCTGCATTTGAAGCAATGCATTTCATCAATTTGAATGAGAACATCCTTCTGTCCAATTCATGCATCTTTGAAATTAGGATGAATCTTATAATCACTGCACCAGATTGTCTTTTCTAAAACTAGCCACAGTATTTCAAAGTCTCACATGCTTTTTTTTTTTCTTGAGACAGGGTCTCACTCTGTCGCACAGGCTGGAGTCCAGTGGCATGATCTCAGCTCACTACACACCTTCACCTCCCAGGTTCAAGCAATTCTCCCACCTCAGCCTCCCAAGTAACTGGGATTACAGGGGTGTACGACCACGCCCAGCTAATTTTTGTATTTTTAGTGGAGACGGGGTTTCACCATGTTGGCCAGACTGGTCTCAAACTTCTGACCTCAGGTGATCCACCTGCCCTGGCATTCCAAAGTGCTGAGATTCCAGGCATGAGCCACCACAACCAGCTCACATGCTTTTTCGGAACCTAGTCAAGACCCCATCAAAAAGTAGAATTTACTTCATCTCCACAAAAAATTTTAAAAATGTAGCTGGGCGTGGCAGCACACACCTGTAGTCCCAGCTACTCTGGTAGCTGAGGTGGGAGGATTCCTTAAGCCCAGGTCGAGGCTGCAGTGAGCTATGATGGTGCCACTGCACTCCAGCCTGGGCAGCATAGCAACAGAGTAAGACCTTGTCTGTCTCTCTCTCTCTCTCTCTCTCTCTCTCTCTCTCTCTCTCTCTCTCACACACACACACACACAGAAAAAGGAAGTAGAATTTATGTCCTCTGCCCTTGAACTTGGGATAGGAGGTTGTGATTGCCTCAACTAATAGAGTGTGGCAAAGTGATGCTAAGTAAATTATGAAGCTAGGTCATTAATAAAACAAGATAGCTTCTGCCTGGTGTTTTCCTGGGATGCTCACCCTTGGAAACTGGCCACCATGCTCAGAAACCCTATGCCACATGGTGAGCTCTGCCCCTGCTTCTCAGATCTGGTTGAGGTCCCAGCTAACAGCCAGCACCAACCTGCAAGTAGTATGAGTGAGTGCTATCTTGGAAGCAGGTCCACTAGCCTTTAGTAGAGCTGCCTGCCTCACGCTATCTGGAGCACAGATGAGGCTTCCTTGCTGAACCCTGCCCAAATCAGACTCCTAAGCAAAATAAATGATCGTTAGTATTATAAGATATGAAGGTCTGCAGTGGTTTGTTATACAGCAATAGACAACTGAAATAATCGTGGTCAGCCAGGCTGCAGTCTTGACAGTTGTCACTGCCTGCATGTATGTATACACAAAAACATGTTGAAGAAGTGTAAGTAAATTGAAAGAAAACCCCGAAGGCAATAGTGGAACATGTTTTAAAGAAATGCTACATACCAACATTTTTATGCACAAACGACAATATTATTATTATTATTTTTTTTTGAGACGGAGTCTCGCTCTGTCGCCCAGGCTGGAGTGCAGCGGCCAGATCTTAGCTCACTGCAAGCTCCGCCTCCCGGGTTTACGCCATTCTCCTGCCTCAGCCTCCCATGTAGCTGGGACTACAGGCGCCCGCCACCTCGCCCGGCTAGTTTTTTGTATTTTTTAGTAGAGATGGGGTTTCACCGTGTTAGCCAGGATGGTCTTGATCTCCTGACCTCGTGATCCGCCCGTCTCAGCCTCCCAAAGTGCTGGGATTACAGGCTTGAGCCACCGCACCCGGCACAAACGACAATATTATAAGGAAAACCATGAACACTGATGGCTCTGAATTCAAAAAGTGATTTAGAAGAATTAAACTCTGAATATGAAGGAATCCGAGGAATAGCATACCAAATTTATTTTGTATAAATTTTCCTCTATTTTAATTTTTTTATTTCCATAAGTTTGGGGGAAACAAGTGGTATTTGGGTACATGAGTAAGTTATTTAGTGGTGATTTGTGAGATTTTGGTGCGCCCATCACCTGAGCAGTATACACTGAACCTGATTTGTAGTCTCTTATCCCTCATCCCCTTCCCATCTTTCCCCAAGTCCCCAAAGCCCATTGTGTCATTCTTATGCCTCTGCATCCTCATAGCTTAGCTCCCACTTAGGAGAAATGCAATGTTTGGTTTTCCATTCCTGAGTTACTTTACTTAGGATAATAGTCTCCTGTATATATTTTTCTTTTTAAGGATGCACACAAGTGATACATAATGGAAAAAAACCATGTGTAAATAAAAAGAACACTCAATTAATATAAAGCAAACAGTAAGTGATAAAAAAAAAAACCATTTTATCATAGTTTCATCATATCAGCCTAGCATCAGTGGTATCAATGATATCTTAGATTTAATGAAATACAGGTGTTTATTGTTGTTGACTCTATTATATTACCAAATACAAGTGTCCTAGGAGAGATTTCCACAAATTTTCCATTTTTTCTTTGCAAATTAAGAAAAAGCAGATATAAACTTTTTAAAAGTTCAATTTAATTTTTACTTTCATAATTATATCCCATTGTTCTATAAAACATTGGGGCTGGGTGCGGTGGCTCACACCTGTAATCCCAACACTTTGGGAGGCTAAGGTGGGCGGATCATGAGGTCAGGAGTTCAAGACCAGCCTGGCCAACATGGCGAAACCCCATCTCTACTAAATATACAAAAATTAGCAGGACATGGTGGCACATGCCTGTAATCCCAGCTACTCGGGAGACTGAGGCAGGAGAATTGCTTGAACCCAGGAGGCAGAGGTGGCAGTAAGCCAAGATCGTGACATTGCACTCCCGCCTGGGCGACAGAGCAAGACTCCGTCTCAAAAAAAAAAAAAAAATGGAAACAACAACAAAAAAAAATGCTTAATTTTCTCAACTTAATATTCCAAACAAGTGACTCTCCATGATCACTTGAAATCACATACATTTTACATATTATGAATGTTTTAGTTGGCTCAGTTTTCTTGAATGGCATAGCATCAGTGGTATCGATGACATCTTAGATTTCATAAAATACAGGTATTTATTGTTGTTGACTCTATTACCAAATACAAGTGTTCTAAGAAAGACTTCTGCGAAGTTTCCTTTTTTTCATTGCAAATTTAAAAAAAAACCTGCAGATATAAGCTTTTTTAAAGTTCAATTTAATTTTTATCTTCATAATTATATCCACAGCATTATTCTATAAAACACTGGGAAACTAAAAAAAAAAAAAAAAAACCTTAATTTTCTTAATATTTCAAATAAGTGACTCTCCATGATCCCCTGAAATCACATATATTTCACATATTATGAATGTTTTAGGTGGCTGCATTCTCTTCAATGGAGGCAGGGGAGGGTAGGCTTAATGAAAGTGTGATAAAGTCAATAATTCCAAAGGCTTAAAGATAAGGTGAACATTAAAGAAACAAAGTGAATTAACTACTAATTAAGCATTTATAAAGCAAAATGATGTGACAATGTTAACTTTATTACTACTGTTAAGGTAACAGAATCAAAGCTTCCGTAGATGTCAAAAACAAGTTTATTCATAAAATGCATTTTTAAAGTATGACCAAAAATAAGACTACAAAACCCCTACAATCTTGTACATTTCACCACCACTTACCACAGTCAATAACCAAAAGTCTCACCAATTCAATTCCTGTATTTTAAGTAAAAAAGAGCTTTATAAATCATAGCATTTTGTTTTATGAATTAAATTGCTGAAAATAGTTACCCAAATCTAGACCAACCGTGCCATTTTGAGAGAGAGAGAGAGAGAGAGAGAGAGAGAGAGAGAGAGAGATTTTTTTAAGACAGAGTCTCATTCTGTCGCCAGGGCTGGAGCACAGTGGTGCGATCTCGGCTCACTGCAACCTCCACCTCCCGGAGTAGCTGGGATTACAGGCGCCCGCCACTATGCCCAGCTAATTTTTTGTATTTTTAGTAGAGATAGGGTTTCATCATGTTGGCCAGGCTGGTCTCGAATTACTGACCTCGTGATTCGCCCGCCTAAGCCTCCCAAAGTGCTGGAATTACAGGCGTGAGCTACCATGCCTGGCCCACCATTTTGATATTTTATACAATAATATTATGTCCAGAAACTGACACTGAAATCTCTCAAAATGTATTTCTGAAGGTTAATTCCGTTTTTCCAAGGCAAACTCTTTTAAACCAAAGGAAATGATTCCCACCACAACACTATAGACACTAAAACATAACACAAGCATAAAGATAAAATATGGAACTTCACGGACACAGAACAAATCTGAAATATGTTTAATTATAGACAACTATTGACTTAGAAATGGAAGGGAGAAGAAAAGCACTGGCCCTGGAGACAGTTTACTCGGTGCTTCTGATATCCACGCGCAGCAGCAAGCAAGTCGGCAAACACGCCCCAGGAGAGGCTGGAGGCTGGCCCAGGGGCTTGTGTCTGGGGGCTTTTGTCATCAGCCAAATCCAGCTTTGTTCAATGAGGGTCAGAGGATTCCAGAACCTATCTTAAATTCTGTGAGTCCAAAGTCTTGAAGTCAAATTTTATGGAGTTTCGTAACGATTAGTACTCTCACCGTTTGGTCAAATGAACTACAGACGCAAAGACCCCTTTTATCTGGACTCCAATCCAAACTTGAAATGGGCTGGGTGGACAACGTAACATTCTGCAGAAGGCTTACAGAACCTGCGACTCCCATTTCTATTCCCTCAGAATCTTTCTTTGACCGCTGAATAGGGTATTCACTGAAAACAAGATCAAAGTAAGAGCGCATAAATCTTAGCTTTCACCATTTTATTTCTACACATACACTTCCATGACTCTATTTCTCAGTTGGTTACTGGGACTAATAAATACTTACAGAATCTTTCTAATACTGAGTTGTTTGCAAATAAAGAGATAATTTCAACCTCAATCCTATCCTCAAAACATGTCATAAAAAGGGTTTTTAGCTCTACTAAAAACTTCTAAAAGTCATTTCTGTTCAACATTTATCTATGTTTTCTCTTTTAATATGAAAGTTCTAGGTTGATCTAGGATTCTTTAATACATTTACTTGGTGCTTTTGATAATCTTTGATTTATTGTAATTTTCCTCCAGATTTAGATTGCTGGATATCACAGGCAAACAATGTGCAAAGGCAATGGCTGTGAGTAACATTTGCAGAACTTCATCTAAACACTTCCAGAATGAAAAACATGCCAGCTGCTAACCCCCAAGCTCCATTACACAGACCCAAGCCTAAGGACCTTTTGCATACCACTTCTATGGGAAGGCGTCACAGAGTGGAGATGTTAGACCTAAATGTAATTGTTTCCAACAAGAAAAAAGTGATTCTGAGAACATTTGATTTTTTTCAGCTGAAAATATAAATTGATATGGTAAGAGAAGCAGAAGGTTAAAGTCATAAATCCCATCTGGTCTAGACTGGAAAAGGGGAAAGAAAACACTCCTCCCCAGTGGAGATGTGCTCCTGATAAAACACAGAAGCATCACTCCTCAGACGGCCGTTTAAAACCTACTAGTATCAATTATGACAGCACCTTTATTTCATAAATGCTGGCAAAGGCCAAGAACGTAAGAAGCACAAAGCCAATCAGGAGCAAAATGGAAATGGAAGAAGAATCTACAGGTAGATGATCTACTATTTTCTCTTCCTCTCAAACCCTACAAATCATTTTGATGAAAAGAAATAAAACATTCAGATGAATACACGGTTTAAATACAGACGTCTTTCACGTATCTCTTGGCAAAGGCTGCAGTTATTTAGTATTCAAAAGATAACATAAAGATTTTTTAAAACCTTCCATATTACCTGTTGAAGTTTTAAAAGAATATGTGTATGTGATTCAAATAATACTCAAAAAAAAAAAAAAACAGCATGTTGAAGTTATTCAAAAAACAAGTCATGAATAACTAGATGATTTCTTCTAGGAGCTGTTGGTTCAGCGGCCAATAAATATTTACAATTTAATTGCATTACTACCAAGACAGACTGGCAAATGAAAATAAAGCTAAATATCATTGTACTTAAACCAATTCCCTTTGCTGGTACAATACTTGACAGTAAAACTCCAAACCGATTTGAAGATTAGACTGCACATCTGTTCTGGTTAAGTGTAAAGTTTACATTGCACTAAACTTCAAATTTGCATACAGACCTAACTTTACCGACAGAACGAAATCCACTGTAGTAAAAACTTCCAGCTGCAAAAGTGTTTGTGTGTCTTATGGAATACAAATCCACGTGTGGATTACAAAGAAAACTGCAACTATTTCTTCAAGTAAGCAGCCTAAAGATTTGGTCACCAAGTAAAATAGTGACGTGCCACCACATGGCTTCACTAAGGGGACTGGCAGAGCCTAACGTGGGGAGGAGACCGGGGTGGAAGAATCAGGGAAGAACAACGGGCAAAGGTGCTAGAAGAAGGGTAAGTAGCAAGTGATCGGTCTACCCCACATTCTCCCAGAACGCCTCAAACTTTTCCTCTGCTTTTCACTCACAGAAACCATACTGTTTGTTTGTTTTTTGAGACAGAAAAAGTCTCTGTTACTCTGTCTCACTCTGTCTCCCAGGCTGGAGTGCAGTGGTGTGATCTCAACTCATTGAGACCTCCACCTCCCAGATTCAGGCAACTCTCGTGCCTCAGCCTCCCAAGTAGCTGGGATTACAGACGTGTGCCACCACGCCCAGCTAATTCTTGTATTTTTCGTAGAGACACAGTTTTGCCATAACCATACTGTTTTGATCTAAAGCGTTCACCCTGGCCAGGCGCGGTGGCTCATGCCTGTAATCCCAGTACTTTGGGAGGCCGAGGCGGGTGGATCACCTGAGGTCAGGAGTTCGGGACCAGCCTGGCCAACATGGTGAAACCCGTCTCTACTAAAAATATAAAAATTAGCTGGGCATGGTAGTGGGCACCTGTAATCCCAGCTAATCAGGAGACTGAGGCAGGAGAAGCCCTTGAACCTGGAGGTGGAGGCTGCGGTGAGATGAGATCATGCCACTACACTCCAGCCTGGGCAACAGAGCAAGACTCTGTCAGAAAATATAAAATAAAGCATTCACTCTGGTTTTTTGTCAGCGGTATCCCTGCACACAGTACTTAAACAAGTACTTTCCAACTGTAGCCCTGTTTTTCAGAACCCCTTCCAGCTTCTCAAAGGAGCTAATAGAGAAGAATTTTATAAATGTGAAAGTCCCAGATATATTGAGGATGGTGTTTTTCTTCTTACATTATTAATGAAACTTTATTTTCGAAAGATCCTTCATTTATAGGCTTGCTATTTTTTCCAAGTGATGTTTAAGAAAGATATAATTTTTCCCCTCCAAGTACATATTGCTTAGCTAAGAAAGTATTCAGAAATACCATTAACTCACAATTTTTATCAGATCTTTAATTTTTGTTTTGTTTTGCTTTTTCTCCTTTTCACAGGCCAACCCTGAGCAAGTATATCAGACCTTTTAAATGATCTAGTATCTACGATGTTAGCGCCCTTGGGATTCAGAGAGTAGCATGCACAGTAAAGCATTCACCGTAACTCACCCAGCCTAGATATGCAGAAAGCAAACTCAGTGATAAGGTCTTTCCTGAAGACCAGTCAGGAGCCTCAGGCTCTGTTGGGGTCTATCACAATGATGTTATCTAAATTTAGGCAAGGAACCCTTTCCCCATCTCTTAGAGGCAGTGAGTGTTCTAATCACTTCAAGATAATATCTGATAAAAGTCTTGGGCCGGCCGGGCGCGGTGGCTCAAGCCTGTAATCCCAGCACTTTGGGAGGCCGAGACAGGCGGATCACGAGGTCAGGAGATCGAGACCATCCTGGCTAACACGGTGAAACCCCGTCTCTACTAAAAAATACAAAAAACTAGCCTGGCGCGGTGGCGGGCGCCTGTAGTCCCAGTTACTCGGGAGGCTGAGGCAGGAGAATGGCGTGAACCCGGGAGGTGGAGCTTGCAGTGAGCTGAGATCCGGCCACTGCACTCCAGCCTGGGCAACAGAGCGAGACTCCATCTCAAAAAATAAAAATAAAAATAAATAAAGTCTTGGGCCAACTTTTACATACTTAGAAGACACAACTAAAATTATAAATAGACTTAATGTATCAAAAGAAGATTAGTGTACACTTTACTAAATGTAAAGTGTATTCATACAAAATGCTTAGAAAACAAGTTATGTAATACCATGAAATTTTAAATCATATCAAAATGAACTAAGTCAAAGCAGGGAAAAAAAAAAGACAAAAAAGTTCAATCTAATCCTACTTTACACCCACAGGTAACTTTAAAAGGAGCAGTGTGCACTGGCAGACTTACTACTTCCAGAGGTGAAGGCCGCCGGCGCCTCCAGCTGTCAGAAAGAGCTCCCTGTTCTGCGGCAGGTGTCGGACCTGCCACACAGTAGATTTATGAGCCTAAACAGAACAAGAGGCACACAACTGGTTTATATGCTAAATGGTGCCCTGGAAGAGAAACTCTGCAAATAAAGAACTTTTACTACTATAATTTCAACGGTTATAAAAGTAATTAAGGTTATTTTCTGGCACGCTTCTTTATAATGGCTACAGAGATTTATAGGAGCACATAAGAAATTAGAAAAAGCATCATTTTTCTTTATTGCTTTATGAAACAAAGTTCTACTGCATTTTTTAAAAGACAGGTATTAAATTTAAAGTCCATTTAAGTTTACAGTACCAAATACATTATGCATAGATTTTACATATGTAAATACCTCTAGTTCATTCTGAGGGGGAAAACACTCAAAATATAAAAATATATACTTTTGTTTATATATACAAAAAATGTGGACTGAATTTTTAAAAATGCACTTTGGTTCTGAGAACAGTTTGAAGTTCACAGCAAAACTCAGCAATAAGTATAGCGTTCTTATAGACTGAATTTTAACTAAAATTTATAGACTGAATTTTAACAGCTCCCAGAGCCTCATTTTCAATGTATTGCCATTGACCTGTCCAGTCTTCAAAATACGGACCACGAGGACTTATAGACAATGTTTATGGTCATAATAAGCTAAGGTCTTTATCATTCACATTAGACTAAAGACTAAAAACCAGCAGCTGGAAGGTTAACAGTTTGTTAGCACCTCAATAGCAACCCGTAAATCCATCCTGGCAATACTGCATTAACTGGGGGGAATTTAGGGGAGAGAGAGAGACAGAGGGAGGGAGAGAAAGGAGGTGGGAGGGAATGAATGAATGCTGCTTTATAGAAGCAGTGGGGCTGGCTATTGTGGAACACCACATTTTAGTGAGTGATTAGTCTTGACCTTTGATTTCAATAGTCTTTTGGGAGAATTACCATTAGCTGATAAAGACTCATATCTCAAAACACATATTTTAAGTGTGTAACGGTCTCCCAGTGATTAGGTTCAAGCTGTTGAAACATTTTATTTTGTAGCTTAAACTTCTCTTCTTCTTCAGGAAGTTGAGAAAAACACAAAAAGCAAGAGGGGAAATGACCTCTTAAAATATACCAGAGTCATCTATTTGGCAGATTTAGCAATTACTGGGTTAACTAAATATAAGTTTAAAAAACTGGGCCAGGTATAGTGGCTCACGCCTATAATCTCAGCACTTTGGGAGGCTGAGGTGGATCAGTTGAGGTCAGGTTTCAAGTCCAGACTGGGCAACACAGCAAGACTCTGTCTCTATGAAAAAAAAAAAATTTCTAATTAGCCAGATGCGGTGGCGTGTGCCTATACTCCCAGCAACTTGGGAGGCTGAGGCAGGAGGATCACTTGAGCCCAGGACTGCAGTGAGCCATCATCATGCCACTGCACACCAGCCTGGGTAAGAGGGCAAGATTCTGTCTCCAAAAAAAAAAAAGAAAAAACAAAAAAGCCAAACAAACAAAATAAAAAACTGGAGATGACACTATTATTTACAGATAATGATATATGTGTTGCAAATTATACATGTAACAGTTTAGTAAAGTGATCTATGTTGTTGATAGATATTTAATATATTCTGAAATGACAAAAGCAAACCAATACTTTATAATTATCTTGTTAAGAATTTTGTTTTCATAAGGCAGTGACAATAATTTACATACAATAATAATAATGAAACAAAATAGGAAGGTTCAAGAAATCCTAACTGAATCCACAGGAGAGAGAGAAGCAAGGAAGCAAATTCTTACTTCATGAGCAACTTGTATATTTTAATCTTACAGAAACAAGGAATCCGTAATTGATATTTCTTTCCTTTTATACTTTAGGAAGCTCAAATCACATTTCCAATCCATTTCTTGTGAATGACAGGACCTTTTTGCATGAATTTTCTGTAATCCCCCCAGTCCAGAAACTATCCTTTTTTTAAACCAGTGTTTTTCTTTTGCCCTGCTTTCCTCATCTATTGGTCTAATGCTGTAATACCATATTTCCCTCTCAGCTACCTCAAATGCAAGGCAAAGTTAAGTAAGTAAATAAAATATTTTTGAACATCTACTATAATCACAGTACTCAGTGCTTTCAATAATTTCATTTAATATAGCAAACTGGAATATAAAATAAAATGTAATGACATCATGTACATATAGTTATATTTTGAAAAATATATAACCAGGTATTAGCACAAGTATTATATATTTATTAGGAAACACGAGGATGGGTTTTGTTGATCAAATTCCTATTATCAGCTAGGTTTCTTCTAATTGCTCCTAAACTACAAAATAAGATTCCTACCTAACTGAGATCTTTATTATAATCAAGAAGTCTAAAGTTGATAAACTTTGGGGAAGTACTCTTTGCACAGAAAAACTTGTCAAGATCTCACAGGAATATATCAAAAATAGCTCCCCTCACATAAAGACCTGGAAGAAACCTTGGTGACTAATTCTACTTATCAGTCTAAGCCAAGCTATCATTCTTCTTCATATAAAGACATTTCCCTCATATTTACCTTTTCTGAAACAGAGGCAAAACCTTTGGTTGGATGCTGTGTTCTCATGTCAAAAACATGGAACTTTCCTTCCAGAGATGTGGCTACTAACTTATTCATACTTATGTCTTTTCTGTCAAACTCCAAGCTACATACCTGAAAACAGAGAATATTTATTATTGGTAGTCTCACCAGTATTAACTCAGGAGGCTCTCTTAAACTAAGTAAAACAGCTTTAAAATGGTCAGATAATGTGAAAGCACTCCAACAATCATTTTCTCTTTTAACTTTTACCATAAAAATTTTTTTCCAGCCAGGCGTGGTGGCTCATGCCTGTAATCCTAACACGTTGGGAAGCCAAGGCAGGTGGATCATGAGGTCAGGAGATCAAGACCAGCCTGGCCAACATGGTGAAACCCTGTCTCTACTAAAAATACAAAAATTAGGTGGGCATGGTGGCGTGTGCCTGTAGTCCCAGCTACTTGGGAGGCTGAGGCAGGAGAATCGCTTGAACCTGGGAGGCGGAGGTTACAGTGAGCTGATATCACGCCCTTGCACTCTAGCCTGGGTGACAGAGTAAGACTCCATCTCAAAAAAAAATTCTTTTTTTTTGGCCAGGCATGGTGGCTCACACCTGTAATCCCAGCACTTTGGGAGGCTGAGGAGGGCGGATCACGAGGTCAGGAGATTGAGACCATCCTGGCTAACACGGTGAAACCCCATTTCTACTAAAAAATATGAAAAATTAGCCGGGCGTGGTGACAGGCACCTGTAGTCTCAGCTACTTGGGAGGCTGAGGCAGGAGAATGGCGTGAACCTGGGAGGCAGAGCTTGCAGTGAGCCAAGATCGCGCCACTGCATTCTAGCCTAGGCAACAGAGCAAGACTCTATCTCAAAAAAAAAAGAAAAAACCATTTTTTTTTTCCATTAGTAAGATCAACAAAACGATCTTGGGTTCCCATGCTCAGTGAATGCCTTTGGGGAATCATTATTTAACTTTTTATGTTATTTAACAGTTAAGTAAAGGCTGACAGTAGAAAACAGGAGGAAACCACATTCTTTGCTAAAGGTGTACAACTGAGGAACCAAAAATCTGAGCTGGGGAGGTGACTACTATTTCAGGCTTTTTGTATTGGCATAAAAAGGCCTTTTACTTGCTTATTTTGAAATCTTACTACATGGGCCACAGCGGTCTGCAGACAGGCTGAAGGGGCTGGTGACTCCCCCAACATTGTACATACCACATGTGGGTGTGAGCTCATTTTCTGAAGAGAGGATTCAGGATTTTCATTAGATTCTCAAACGAGTTTGGCCCCAAAAAGTTAAGAACCATTGGCAGAGGGGTTGACTGAGATGAGTTACTAGAGGTGTCTTCCTTTTGTAGTAATTCAGAGGTGAATGGAAACATGCGCAGAGAAACCAAAAAGCATCAGAATATACTTTACCCCATTTTTGATGTTTGTCTCCCACCGTAATGCCATATTTCTGAGATCAAATAGTTTGATATCCCCATTGTCATAACCAGCACAAACAACACGTTCTTCTTGATTATAAGCATTGCCTGGAAATCAAAATATAACATTTCACATCCTTATAAATGCATTCTTATAAAGGTTGCTTAAAAAAATCTTATGAAACTATACATATAGCTTATACTAAATCAGATTTTAAAAATCACACTGGATAGAATCCCACCTTATCAATCCTGACAGGACATCAAGATTATTAATGTGGTTTCCATTAGTTTTTTGGTTTGTTTAAATCTCTCATAAGAGTTTGGATATTTGTCCCCCCAAATCTCATGCTGATGTAAGATCCTCAATGTCGGAGGTGGGGCCTGATGGGAGGTGCTGGGTCATGGGGCTGGATCCCTCGTGAATGGCTCAGTGCAGTCTTTGTGGTAATGAGTTTTCACTCTTCTAGTTCATGAGAGGTCTGGTTGTTCAAGAGTCTGGCGCCTCCCTCCTCCCCTCTCTCTTGCTCCCTCTCTCGCCATGTGACACGCCTGCTCCCCTTTTGCCTTCTGCCATGAGCAGACACTTCCGAGGTCTCACCAGAAGCAGATACTGGCACCATGCTTCTTGTATAATCTTGCAGAACCATGAGCCAAATCTCTTTTCTTTATAAACTACCCAGTTTCAGGTATTCCTTTATAGCAATAAAGAAATTCAATGCAAAACGGACTAATATAAGCTCATTCACTGTAATTCCATACTGAAAGGATATGTGAAAACGTTTATTGAATTCAATTTAAAGAAAATGCTTTATAGGAGATGGAGACCATCCTGGCTAACACAGTGAAACCCCATCTCTACTTAAAAAAAAAAAAGTTAGCTGGGCGTGATGGCGGGCGCCTGTAGTCCCAGCTGCTCGGGATGCTAAGGCAGGAGAATGGCGTGAACCTGGGAGGCGGAGGTTGCAGTGAGCCGAGATCCCACCACTGCACTCTAGCCTGGGCGACAGAGCAAGACTCTGTCTCAAAAAAAAAAAAAAAAAAAAAAAAAAAGCTTTATACTATATCTGCAAAGGCTAGCAGGCCAACTATAAGTCAAACACAAAGGGGTCTCGGAGAATAAACACAGTTATACTTCTGTTGCTTTCTTGGCAGTAACTATATTTGAACGTAAACAGAAATTTTAAAACTAATTTATCTTGAAAAATGCTGTTCTGGTGTGATCCCATCTTTACAAGGAAATCTGAAAATAAGCTGTAGCACACTGTAACATATTTTTAGTAGTGTGGATGATCATACCTGAAGTAAGTTTATAATCTGTAGTTAAACTCATCCTCCTGGAATTCAAGGATTTTTTTCCAAGTACCTCTTGCTGAGGAAAGAGTGTTAAGTGAGAAGGAGGCCCCTGTCACTGTGCTAGGCTCTCTGGGCATCCTGTCCCCAAGCTTTCGTTCTCTACTGCCTCTAACTTCGTTTTTCTCATAAACTCCAGCCCTGCGTTTCCACTGTGGGCCCCACCTAGATGGTACGCCATCATCTTAAACTCATGATGTCCCAAAATGACCTTACCATTTTCCTTTACAAATTATCCCACTCCTTGTATAATAACATCATTCACCCCACAATCAGCCTGAAAACTCAGTCATCTTGGACATAATCCTTTTCTTTGTTCTTCATATCCAAAAAAATTCCCCAATTCTATGTATTCTGCATAATATTATCTTCCAAATCATCCACTCTGCTCCCTTCTCAGTGCTTGTAACTTAGGTCTTCCCTGGAATACTGCAAAGAGCTCTTGAACTCATATTCTCTGTGCCACCCATCACTCCTGCTAAATACCATTAGTTCATTGTCCTAAAGCTCAGATTTCATCTCCTCCTTGCAAAAACCGTCAAAAACTTAGAATGATCTTCAGGCCATCCTAACACCTCTGGCCATTGTCCTGAGCCATCTCTAAGGATATTCCTACTATTATTCTCTTCTACCATCAGCCCTCCCTATCCATGGGTTCTGCATCTATAGGCAACCAACCATGGATTGAAAATATTTGGAAAAAAATTCGCATCTACACTAAAAATGTACAGACTTCTTGGGCTTGTCATTATTCCCTAAACAATACAACAATGATTGACGCAACATTTATATCATATTAGGTATTATAAGTAATCTAGAGGTGATTTAAAGTATACGGGAGGATGTGTTAAACCATTCATGAGAACTCTGCCCCCATTAATCTCCTCCCATGAGGCCCTACCTCCAACATTGGGGATTACAATTCGACATGAGATTTGGTGGGGACATAGATCCAAACCATATCAAAGGGCAAATGTCAATTAGTCTTACAAAATCAATATTCATTTTAAGTAAATTAATAAAGGAACAAAGTTATCAAAATTTATAAGAAATAACTTTGCAATGGCAAACTATTTTCTGGAAAATAAACATACTCTGTACACAGTGTAATGTATGATTTGTTAGGTTACCGTTTGCATCTGAGGCTTGGTTTATAGCCTTTAATGGTGTCTGATTTTAAATTAGGTCACTATTATCTAATTAAACAGAAACACATATTAATAAGCACAATTCTCAGCACTTTACATGTAATTAACTCATTGAATCTTCATGACGACACAACTAAGTAAATTCTATTATTAATTCCATTTTATAAATGCAACAACCAAGGAACAGATAACTTTGGTAACTTGCTCCAGGCCACACAGCCAATATACTTATTGCAGGTGAGAATTCAAATCCAGGATCCAGAGGCTGACATTAACCACCATGTATATTTGCCTCAGTAAATAATCCACAAAACAGACTATAAAGAGACTAGTGTGAAATTTCTTGCAGGATCGTGCTTTTTACCATCTGATCATTCAAATGCAAGAATTCTTCAATAATTTACCAAATGCCACAGTCCAACAGTCTCTCTTGTTTTCTCCTTGTACAGGTTCCATATTAGCAACAGGATCATCTTTTTGCCTTGGGTCCCACACCTTCACAGTTCCTGCCATGCATAAAAGTAAGTTGGCAAAGATTCAAAAGTGAATGATCATGTTTCTTTTCTACATTGTTCTTCTATGGCTTCCTATGTACATGGCAATATGACAGATGTTATGACATCTGAAAATATCCACATTGTTCTCACTTCTAATTGGGTAAGTTTTATTTAATATCAGAGATATCACCCATATGTGACTATCTGGCTTGGTTTCCAAATTAATAGACACACAGAAAAGCCAACAAGTGTTCCTAAGTTATCTACAAGTGATGACTGACAAGGCAAATGTGAATGTTACATAATTCAAATCATGAGCCTAAAACAAATGTGTTATTTATTAGAGAAAATACCAGGGTTGTTTTCATTTTTACTTTTTTCCTTACTACCCATTTAACCATCGGCATGAATACACTCTAATTTTGAATTAATGGTTTCTTATGTTGTGAGTTCTAGACTACTATTTCTTTTCTTTTTTTTGAGATGGAGTCTCACTCTGTCACCCAGGAGTGCAATGGCATGATCTTGGCTCACTGCAACCTCTGCCTCCCAGGTGCAAGCGATTCTCTATCCTCAGTCTCCCGAGTAGCTGGGACTACAGGCGCCTACCACCATGCCCAGCTAAATTTTGTATTTTTTTTAGTAGAGATGGGGTTTTGCCATGTTGGCCAGGCTGGTCTCAAACTCCTGACCTCAGGTGATCCACCTGCCTCGGCCTCCCAAAGTGCTGAGATTACAGGCATGAGCCACTGTGCCTGGTCTAGAATACTATTTCATATACAATTAAGTTTAATTTTCCTGTGGCAATAGTGAAGAGGAAAATGTTAAATAAAACTAACAAATCCTCAATTTAATTTCAACCCCCTCGTTTTAATTCATGTTATGGGACTACTTACTAAAATAGTGTCACTACCTACAAGAAATGCAAATGCATGTAATAAAATGGCTAAAAGGCAAGTACCTGAGAGAGAATAAGAAAAGGGCAAAAAAAAAAAAAATCCTTAAAAGGAAAATAACTCAGGAAAGGTGGAGGTACAACATTAGATTTACCTCCAGGGATAAAATAAAGATCATTAAGAGGCTGCTTGACTTTAATATTTATTTATTTAGAGACAGGGTCTTGCTCTGTCACCCAGGATGGAGTGCAGTCATGCGATCATGGTTCACTGCAGCCTCGACCTCCTGGCTCCAAGTGATCCTCCTACCTCAGCCTCCCAAGTAGCTGGGACTATACCACCATGCCTGGCTAATTTTTAAAGTTTTTGTAAAGATGGCATCTCCCTATGTTGCCCAAGCTGGTTTCGAGTGATCTTCCCACCTCAGCCTCCCAAGTGCTGGGATTACAGAGATGAGCCACTGCACTCAGCAAAAGCCTGTTTTAAAAACAAAACAAAACAAAACAAAAAACCCATATATAGAGATAAGAGATTATCTTTCTCTACCGGATTTATACACATTGATAAGATTTATAGTAAGTTTGCAAAAGATAAATGAGCAAAGAACACAGAGTATTCATAAAACAAAATTAACTAGTAAATATAGAAAAAAACACAAATTGGAAAGGAATACCATTTTGTTTACAAAATAAGATAGAAAAAAAGAAAATCAACGCTAACAGGGTAGACTTGAAATCTACCTCATCTACTGTAGCTGACTATAAATAAGTACTTTGGAACGCTTGTCAGTAAATTTTAAACTTTTTTTTTTTTTTTTTTGAGACGGAGTCCCACTCTGTTGCCCAGGCTAGAGTGCAGTGGTGCGATCTCAGCTCACTTCAACCTCCCACTGCCAGGTTCAAGCAAAACTTGTGCCTCAGCCTCCTGAGTAGCTGGGATTACAGATGTGTGCCACCACACTGGCTAATTTTTCTATTTCAGTAGAGACAGGGTTTCGCTACATTGCCCACACTGGTCTCAAACTCCTGGTCTCAAGTTATCCATCCGCTTCGGCCTCCCAAAGTTGTGGGATTATAGGCATGAACGACTGTACCTGGCCCAATACATTTTTTTAAAAATCATAAAATAAAATATGTTTATTCCAAAAGAGTTACACATATGACAATACTCATTTACTCATTATTTTTAAGCCACTGTCATAAGACAACAAAAAAAGCAAACTGAAGGCTTATAGGGGAATGGTTAAGTATGGCCATATGATGGAATATTAGATAGTCATTAAAATGATAACTGTGGAAACAGCAATATGTGCATATGACAAAACATTAAATGAAAAAAGTTTCTAAGATACAAATTCATATTCACACTTATAACTATGCAAAATTATATATAAGACCTAAAAGAAAAAGAAAAATTTAATGGTTGTGGTAGTGTGGTAGACTGAATATTATTTTTTCCCTCTATACTCAATATTGCTTTTATGAGTAAAAAAAAATAAGTGATTTCCAAAACACAGCTGCTCTTGAGTACCTATTAGAAAATTATATCGCACTTTTCTTTTAAAGCAATTTCCTCATGGTCTTGAGCAGTCATTAAACAACTAGGCAAATCAATTATAACAGGTACCAAATTTCTCGTGTACCCCTCGTGAAGCAAAAACATTTCTGACTCTATTAAAGTCATGCAGTACCACTTTGGACACCAAAAGACCTGGCCCTTCCTTGTTGGTCACTGCAGGGTGGAAGAGCTGAGCTGGTGCCTTTGGAACTCTCCAGTGGATGGATCACAGAACTTCAGTTTTCAACCAACTGTCAATATGACAATTTTCACAAGTACTAATTCTGCCTTTTAAAAAAAGAAAATGAAAAGCTGCCACCCACATTATATCGTCAGCTGCCTCAAAAGCCTGTAAAGACATTTTAAATCCTTCAGGGTTCAGAGGAAACCATCATTGTTAGTAGCTGAACCGGCTCAACACTAAAATAGTGGTAAGAAGTGCTATGAATCTATCTCCAAATACCCAAAAGTCTGAAACAATCAAGAGAGAAGCAATCAAACTTGCCTGTTAAAAAAGTAGCAGCAAGACTGTTAGATTTAGGGAGTCAAGGTAACTGAAGGGGATTTTTACTCAGAGAGGACGTACTGCTGCATAGAGATTTCCATTAAAATAAATAAACAAAATACATAGAATACATGGACTCACCATCTCGGCTGCCAGTCACAATTTCAGGTGCTCCTTCTCCAATTCCTAGTCCACCTACGCCATCTATGGCATTTATAATTTCTTTATGGCCCTTTACAGAATATACTGGCATCTCTGGAGCTTCTAAATTCCTAAACAACAAACACAGCTTTTTACACCACATGTCCCAAACATTTAAGTCTGCTACTGAAATTCAAAAATACATATTACAGTTAGATTTTTTTTTTTGTATAGAAATTAAGGTTTTGCTATGAAGATGGTTTATACATTTATTTACACTTCTGAAATTTTCTCTCCATTTAGCTTCTTTCAAGTCCCCAATGAGAACTGTCATCATTCAACTTGAAATTCCAATCCTGAGCTCACTATACGTAGTGTTCAAAGACGATCTCTCCAAGACCCCCACAGATGAATTACCAGGTATGCTTGTTGATAAACGTGGATTCAAGGGCTTCTCCTCAAACATAAGGAATCAGGATCTCAGATGGGTCCCCAAAACAATGACTGTGGTACACTGAAGTCTGAAAAAATACTGCTTCAAATATACAGTAAAGCTCAGGGAGGTCAAGGCTGCAGTGAGCTGAGATCATGCCACTGCCCTCCTGCCTGGGTGACAGAGCAAGACCCTGTTTCAGGAAAAAAAAAAAAAAAGAAAAAGAAAAGAAAAGAAAAAACCACCATGTATCTGAGGACCTCGCTCTCAGGACAATTTTTTTCAATTCTGGGTTTTAGTGGCTGTTACAAAAATATGCGAAGTGAACAGAAGATGGACACCATTAGCTGGCCTTACTAAATCATCATACTCATTAGAATTCTTCCAAAGTAGGCCTCAGTAGTTGGATCTTATGACCTTTTTAAAGGATAAAATATGAGTAGTGTTTACTTTGTACACATTTCTTCCTTTATAAGGTACTATTTTCCCACTGAAGTCCACACTGATTTTCATCTACTGACATATTTTTCAGTGTGTCATCGTACAACAATATGTATTACTGAAAGACAGGCTGAAGTTCGTCTAATAGGTCAATTCACAGAAAGGCATTCAGGAAAGTATTGATTACCACAGTTGCACTACTGGGCAATGAATGGCTTGACTAGGTGATCCTCACACATTCCTTTTCTTGCCCATCTCCATTTCTTCCCTTCTTTTGCTTTTCTACTGGAACTTCTATTTATATTTCTCTTAATAATTTAGTTTTCAATAACTTACGGATATTTAAAATGAATGTGGCTATTCATGAAATATACTCCCAATTTATTATTGGGCCACGATTTATTAGTAAAACCTTACTAATAAAAAATTTGTGGCCAGGTGCAGTGGTTCATGCCTGTAATCCCACGACTTTGGGAGGCCAAGGTGAGTAGATCACCTGAGGTCAGGAGTTTGAGACCAGCCTGGCCAACATGGCAAAACCCTGTCTCTACTAAAAACGCAAAAAATTGTCAGGCGTGGTGGTGGGTACCTGTAATTCTAGCTACTCGGGAGGCTGAGGCAGGAGAATCACTTGAACCCGGGAGGTGGACGTTGCAGTGAGCCGAGATCGCATCACTACGCTCCAGCCTAGGCAACAGAGTGAGACTACATCTCAAAAACAAGAAAAATTTTTTGAGATATTTCAACCTAGTTTAGAAATTACATTTACCATCATTATGAACTAATCAAGAGATTAAACAAGATTGTGGTTCTACTTGAAATGACTGTTTTACTACTTTATAGACTTTAAAACATTATTTTTTAACATGAAATTATAAGATTTATCAATGAAAGTAAGTTGGTAATATCTGTACTATACTAGGAAACTATATTAGAAAGATGGTCAATGGTACTATTTAATATTTTGAATACTCTTGTGTTGAAATATATTTATTTTTTAAAATAGCATTCAAACTTGCCCCTCTCCCAGTATCTCTCAAAGCATATGACAAAGCATCTAAGAACTAACGAATACATGCTAATTTAATTATTAAGGAGTTAAAGCAAGGAGAAATTAAAATAGTTTCATTTTGTTTAATGTTATGATTCTAAGACAGATAAATATGTTAAAGTAATGTAATTATAAAGTAGCAGGTTCTGAGACTCAAGAAAGGTCATGTTAGAAAACATGATGCAGGAAAAATAGTTTTTCTAGAACACTCTAGAACTTTCTCCATAATATTTTAGAACACTGCTGTATACTATAAATGATTACAATAATAGATTTTCCTGCAAAGTAATTAAAAAGGAATTTCAATTCATTCCACTCTAAATAAGAAACAACTCTAGGTAAAATATGAAAAAGGCATTTGGCAGAATTGTGATTTTGCCCATTCAAAACAAGTTTATTTTGATTTGTTCAACAGATATGCTTCTAAAAAGTTGTGCTTAGATGTTAAAGCTTGAAAAAACAAACATTCTGCAGTGCTAAATCTATTGCTGAAATATAAATAATTAATACCTACTTTTTCAATGTTATCATGTGCATTTTTATATACTGTATTTTTAAAGTTGGAGGGGGAATAGACCTTTATTTACAAATACATGGCATTAAATGCTAGCACCAAACAGTGTGTGTGAAAATAAGCATTGATAATATTATCCAAAATATCTAAAGAAAAATAGGTTAGTATTTTTAAATGGATTTTGAATATTAAATCTAGAAATATGTATTAAGAGAAAATTCTCATATTTTTATAGTTAAAATGGAACATATAAAGAAAGATTTTAAAATTAAAATTCTCTCTTTCAGAGAAAGAGTAATGAAACTATCAAATAAATTGCCTGTCTCATCTGTCTGAATACTGACTAAATCATCTTACCATATATGAAGGTTTCCACCAAAATCTCCAGTAGCTAAATATCTCTGCTGTAAAGATGTTGCACCAAATGTTCCACATTTAATAGGTTTGGCCTTTTCAATCTTGATAGAAAGGAGGAAGACAGGATATATTATTTATGTAAGCAGATATTTATAATCTATTAATATCATATTTACGGCTCTATTATGGCATTTAAATAAGACAATATAAAAGGCAATTAAAACATCTTCTGATGAAAATAATCATATACTTTTTCCTTTAGTCATTTTTCTTTAAAGTATGTAACTGTCAAAAAGAAAAAGTGTTAATTTGCCTTTCCTCTCCTCTCACTAATGAGACATTCAAATGCTGACAGCTCTGCAATCTCTATTGCAGATATGAAAGTTTCAGCATTTCATGTGATATTCTTTAAGATCCTCAACAGAAATGAGAACATAATGAAGATATTATCTTTCCAGATGGTTATGGGAACAAAAATGTTACATTTCTCTTATAGTTTTCCCTGCAGAACCCTATAAACTAAAGATGTTTATGTCCCACTTTCTCTGGGGCCTTTTCAATGCAGAGAGATTTATAAACCTGTGTGTATCAAGCCACTACTATTGGTATGGATCAGCCAATCTTTTGAGGTTTCTTTACTTTAAAAGGCTACTGCTCCAAGTATCATATATAATCACATTAGTAAAACAATCATATACAAATATATTATTTAAGGTATGGGGCTTATGGAAATCAGGTGAAGAAGACTATGTAGCCAAAAAGGTCCTTGGAAAGGATCTAATACAATACTCTCCTGTCATAAAAGGAGACCAAAGCATATGGCTTTAGAGATTCGCCCACTCATACAACATTCAACATTTAATGGTTGCTACCACATGCAAGTCACTGAACTAGGCAAAAAAGGATACAAAGATGAATGAGATTGGCCAGTGCCTCAAAAAGCTAACAACTCAAATATCAGTTCCCATCTGGTTCCTCCAAAATATACATATTCATTATACTACTCCTACACCTCCCTGGGTCTTCCATTCACCTTCTTTTACTTCCTGATGTTTCTGATTTCTCCACGGCCCCTCCCGCCGCCAACTCTACCTGCCCAGGTCACTAAAGTCCCTCCTACAGTCTAACTGCTTTTCCTGCTGCCTTGGCTCCTGAGATCTCTGCAATCTGGAATTAGATGAGGCCACTGATGTCTGTCCCACACCACACTCTTGCCATATAACACTTCCCACTGACTGTCAGCCTCAATGGGGCAAAACTATCCCTCTTGGTCTCTAACAATTTTTACATTTTAAAATTCTTAATGTTTATAAAAGTAATACCTGCTCCCTATAAAAATTCAAACAAAACAAAAGGATGGAAGGAAAAAGTGGGTCCCTTTAACACTTTCCAGAAGTAATCCCCATCCTTCTAGATCTTCTACGTATTTACAAACACACACGCGTTTGTTTCAATACAAGGCAAATCACAGTACACTGTCGTTTGATTTGTTTCACACAATACATCTAGATAAACTTTATTCCTTTTGCAGGGTTCTCCAGTTTCCAGGACATCTCCCCTTGTAACTCTTCAGTTTTCATGCCTCCCAGGTTGGCCTGTTTCAAATAATTTTAAAAATAATTTCCCTGCCACTTTCAGTGTTTATCCAGGCATTTCCATATAGGTATACATACCAATTTCCACAAATAAAATAAAAGTCACTTAACACAAACTATAACAACTTTTTTCTCTGATTCAGAAGATACCATTACATGGCATAGGGCTTTGGAAACTCCCAGACTGTTGAACTTTCCTACTATTTGTGATCTGGATAAATTGGAGTTACTATGGCCAAGTCTAAAAGCATTCATACCCTCCTCAGAATTGTCTAGTAAATGAAATCAGTCATCTACGGTAACGTCTGTAAAAGACCCTATTGATGAGAAGCACAGAACCACGGAATGTTTCTCTTTTTAATGCACAAGTGGTCTGAGATGGCATCAGTTATTCACTGCACCAGAAAGTTAATACTCGTTTATTCCCATTTTCCCCCAATTTTATGAAAAAGAGTATCTTAAAATGGGGCAACACAGAGGATCAAAATTTTGTCAACTTAACAACACACACAGTTTCTAACTCCAATTTATGTTTTCCTCACCTTTCCCTTCTCCTCAAAGTACCTAAAAATATATTAATAGTGCTGGCCAGGCGTGGTGGCTCACGCCTGTAATCCCAGCACTTTGGGAGGCCGAAGCGGGCGGATCACGAGGTCAGGAGATCGAGACCATCCTGGCTAACATGGTGAAAACCCGTCTCTACTAAAAATACAAAAAACTAGCCGGGCGCAGTGGCGGGCGCCTGCAGTCCCAGCTACACAGGAGGCTGAGGCAGGAGAATGGCGTGAACCCAGGAGGCGGAGCTTGCAGTGAGATCGCGCCACTGCAGTCCAGCCTGGGCAACAGAGCGAGACTCTGTCTAAAAAAAAAAAAAATATATATATATATATACACACACATATATATATATACACACATATATGTAAAATAGTGCTAAAGCACTTAATCACTATTAGGGCATGATTTCTATGGTGAAATTAATTCAGAGTTCCAACCTACACCAACTGATGAAACAGCTATCCACCTCTCCCTCCCCTTGGTCTCACACTGAACCTGGGTCTTGGCAGCTCTAAGTCATTGATAATGGCTTCCATGTTCTGAGGCAGAGGGTGGAAGCAGACCCTCTGAGGTAAGAAGCTGGTAGTCCTGATGCACAGCAATGTGGTTCCAGGAGACAGGGGATTAGAAGCTGTGGAGAGCTTGCATCATCTATTGACCCAATTCTCTGGGAACATTTTTCTCAGAGAAGCACTGGGAAGACTGGTCACCCATTTTCTTCCCCCCAACCAGCTAAAGCATTCTGCTTCCCAGAATTCCACTGCTATCCCCTGAAACCTCTGATGAGGGTTTCTGTGCTTCCTAGGCCATGGAAGAGGTAAAAACTAACCTACACTCTTTGGTCCCTACAGTCTTCTAAAATTTTACGGTTGGTAATACAAAACTGGAAGCAAAAACTTTCCTCCCTGTTATTCTTTTACTTAACTTTCACTTTTAGACTCTGTAGACTAGAGAATCTCAACCTATACTCCTGGAACACATTGATCTTCTGTTACTAACATAATACATTAATTAGAAAATTCGCCAAGAACAAAAGCCGATGGATGTGTTTTTTTCAAATTTTAAAGTTTAAAAAAAAATAATTTTCTTAGCTTGCCTGGTAGAAAATACTAGCAAATGAACACCAGTTAAAAAAACTTGGACCATGCGCAATGGCTCATGCCTGTAATCTCAGCACTTTGGGAGGCCAAGGAGGATGGATCACTTGAGGTCAGGAGTTCAAGACCAGCCTGGCCAAAATGGCGAAACCCCATCTCTACTAAAAATACAAAAATTCGCCAGGCGTGGTGGTGGACACCTGTAATCCCAGCTACTGGGGAGGCTGAGGCAGGAGAACTGCTTGAACCCAGAGGGCGGAGGTTGCAGTAAGCCAAGAGCGCACCACCACTCTCCAGCCTGGGCGACAGAGAGAGATTCCATTTCAAAAAATAAATAAAATAAAATAAAACAAATTAATAAAAATAAAAAACCTTGGAAGTGAAGACTTAAAAACTGTGTGGTTACTTGCTATGTAAAAATCAGAATATCTATATATAGAGAGAGTCAGATTTTTCTGCTGAAAATCTTTTCCCTGTGCAAAGATGGAACTGACTACTCCAATATTTTATGGTGTTCCAAAAACAGCACTGCAATGTACAGATTCTTTGACACCTGCACAAAAATATTTTATTCACGCAATTATGTCCCCCTTTCTAAAATGTGAGCACCATGAGAGCAGAGCCTTGCCTAATTTTTTTAACGCATAGCAGGCACTCAACATTTGTTGAATGAAGGTATAAGTGACTATCCATGAATCTCTCAGCCCTGAGACTAGGGACAGACAAACCAGGGCTGGAGTTCACTTTCTTTGTTCTCTCTTTTCTCCTACCATACTTTCACGTGCCAGGGTTCTGACAAACTGTTCAGTTTCTGGTGTCATTGACATGCAATCATGAAAATAGCGTCCATCTATTACCTACATATCAGATACGTTTTAGATATTCTTCCAGTCTAGACCATCCCTTTTCTAATATATAGAACACTGCAAACTAAGTGTTCAGAACACCACTTTCAAGATGACAAAACAGGTTCAGAGGACTGAGTGACTTGCCTAAGGTCCCAAGAGCCAGGTAGAACCCAGGCTTTTTCTTTTAAACTAGGCTGCCTCCAGGTTTATATGCAAATCGATTAAATAAACATTTTATTATTGGAGTCCTCATTCTGTAAACCTGAGAGCTATTGGAAGTATCAAAGGAATGTTCCAATCTTGATTGCTGAGGTAAATGGTACAATGGCATGAATTAAACCTACTTTCAGATCTCTGTCCTTTGGTTTTTACCTTCATTCATGTCTTTACAAGATATAAATATAAGATATTATGCTTCCCTCATGTTCTTTGTTCTTTTCTTATATTAAAGAAACACAAAGATATTTATAGACACTAGTGGTCTGTTGTGTAAGAACCAAATTAAACTCAAATTGTACATCTTGAACATATTAAACGTATTAAAACTGATCAATTGTGTGCACTGAGGACTGCACTTTGCTCAGAAGGGCTGAGCTCTGTTGGCAAACGGACTTACAAAGTAGGCATATTTCCTCTTTCCTCAGACATTTATGGAAAAATAATAATAGCTAAATTAACAGGACAAAGGTGAAGCTAATTTTTCATAGTTCACAAAAGGGTTCCCTCTTTGCCCCGATAGATAGTTTATCTACGGAAAAGAAAAGATGAAAATAAGTTAGTGGTAAATCAAAATTTTTCTTGCTAGAAAACTAACTGGCAAAAAAAAAAAAAAAAAGTTCTATCTTGCAAAAATTGTTCAACAAAGAAAATCTGTATATACTAACAATTTTTGCTATATGATACTGAAAATGGCCATCAATGATGGTCATAATTGACCTAGCTGTTCGTTTTCTTGCTATAATAAGAAGTTAAAATGATTAAAGAAGCTCAAGATCAATAATTTCTGTGTGAGCTATTTTTGTTCTGCATGTGGGTGGGTCTAGTACAGCTTGTCAGTACTTCCTCCTCCACATCCTGGCAATACTTAATTAACATTAAAAGATCTAGCCAACCAAATGCTAACAAGCAGTAAATTCAGTAGCACAGGGACTAAAAAAGCAGAATTTTATTAGCTTATTGCTTTTTTTTTAATATAAACATCTACAACTGTGATTCCATTTTTCAGGGCCATCCCTAGTCCATATGGTATCTTTGTGCCAATTAGAAAAAAGTTGCCCTTTAGAGGCTGATGAAGCCTCACACATGTAAGCCTTAATGAAAGAAAAAGAGCGTATAACTCCCATTTGAGCACTCAGCCAGACACCTTTGTGTGGTGCAAAAAACTGCTCAACGGAACATGGAGGCCCTGCCCTCCATTCCTTATCTATCCTTTTACAACTAAGATAAAGAAGACTTCGACAATGCACGCGCTTTGCAAGCTCCAAGTCAGTGATAAATTTAAAAAAAAAAAAAAGAAAGATGCATGAGCTTTGGAGCACATGACTTAGGGGTAGCTCTACAATGACAAATCAAGTCTGTTTCCTAATATTATAATAAGTGACCCATCTAGTTCAATGGTTCTCAGCCCTGGGACTCATTAGAATCACCTCGCAGAAGTTTTAAAAAATTCTGATTTCTAAACCTTATTTAGATGCAATAAAGACGTACCACTGCGTCAGAATTTCTAGGGGTGGGACCAAGGCACAAATGTTTTAAAACACACACACATACACACAAGCCACAAAATGCACTCAAATGATCCTGATACACAGTAAGGAGTGGGAGTTACTGGAACAGTATTTAACCTATATTTTTAATCTTTTTTCCATTGCACCAGAGCAGCCAAATACAATGTAAGTTCTTTTTTGTTTTGGTTTGGTTTTTAGACAGAGTCTTCCTCTGTTGCCAGGCTGGAGTGCAACGGCGGATCTCGGCTCACTGCAACTTCCGCCTCCCGGGTTCAAGTGATTCTCATGCCTCAGCCTCCTGAGTAGCTGGGATTACAGGCAGGCACCACCACACCTAGCTAATGTTTGTATTTTTAGTAGAGATGGGGTTTCACCATGTTGGCCAGGATGGTCTCGCTCTCCTGACCTTGTGATCCACCCGCCTCAGCCTCCCTTAGTGCTGGGATTACAGGCGTGAGCACCACACCTGGCCCACTGTAAGTTCTAAAAGGTATTTCTGTATTAGTTGTACCCTCTTTTTGGACAGACAGTAGGCTCTTTAGAAGAAAGGACTCAACTTTTAAATATCTTTGGTCCTTGTTAAACACAGTACCTTGAAATAGTGTGTTCTCAGATCTAATTCATGGTAGAAAAAAAGATCTAAAGGATCCAGGTGAAAATACACTTAGTAGTTATTCCTGGCATTGAGATTATGGGTGATATTTTCTTCATTTTCCTATTTTCTAAATGTTCTATCATGAATACATATTACTTTTCCTGCAAAAGAAAATTATCTTTTTAAAATTTGCTGAAACTCCCCAGAGTCGCTACGAAAGACAAAGTACTCTATTCCACTTGATGGAGTAAGTGTAGTTTTGAAATACGTACAAATCATATATTTTCATTTTATTATTTTTTGAGACAGAGTCTCTCTCTGTCACCCAGGGCGGAGTGCAGTGGTGCGAACATGGTAGCCTTGACCTCCTGGGCTCAAGAGATCCTCCCACCACAGCCTCCCAAGTAGCTGGGACTACAAGCTCGCATCACTATGCCCAGCTAATTTTTGTATTCTTTTTTATACAAAAAGTAGAGACAGGGTTTCGCCATGTTGCCCAGGTTGGTCTTGAATTCCTGGGCTCAAGCAATCCACCCCTCTGCCTCTCAAAGTGTTGAGATTGCAGGCGTTAGCCACTGCACCAGGCCTGTTCTTATTTTAAAAAGTCACAAGTCTGAGCCCTGATTCTGCCACTGCACTCCATCCTAGGCAAGAGTGAGACCCTCTCTCAAAAAAAAGAAAAAAGAAAAAAGAAAAACAATCATGTCCCATTTTTCTTTGAAAAAGGAATAAATGGCCAGGCGCGATGGCTCATCTCTGTAATCCCAGCACTTTGGGAGGCCGAGCTGAGTGGATCACCTGAGGTCAGAGTTCGAGACCAGCCTGACCAACATGGTGAAACCCCATCTCCACTAAAAATACAAAACAATTAGCTGGGCATGGTGGCAGGCGCCTGTAATCCCAGCTACTAGGGAGGCTGAGGCAGGAGAATCACTTGAACCTGGGAGGCAGAGGTTGCAGTGAGCCAAGATCACGCCACTGCACTCAAGCTTGGGTGACAGAGCAAGACTCCGTCTTAAAAAAAAAAAAAAAGAAAAGAAAAAGAAAGAGAAAAGAAAAAGGAATAAATCCTTTAAATGCCTTTTTTTTTTTAATGGTGGTTCACACCTGATCCAGCACTTTGGGAGGCAGAGGCGGGAGGATGGTTTGAGCCCAGGAGTTCCAGGCTGCAATGAGCTATGACAGTACCACTGCACTCCAGACTGGGACAGAGCTACGCCATCTCTAAACAACAACAACAAAAAACAAAAACAACCCAAAATGCAATGTATAGAAATTTTCCTTTGTGTAGAAATCAGGAAGGGCATCATACATTAGATAATCTGAACTGGACATTAGAATAGCAACCGGTAGCCAGGCTTGGTGGCTCACGCCTGTAATCGCAGTATTATGGGAGGCCGAGGCAGGCAGACTGTTTGAGCCCAGGAGTCGGAGACCAGCCTGGGCAGCATGGCAAAAGCCAATCTCTACCAAAAAAAAAAAAAAAGTACAAAATAATTAGGTGTGGTGGCACACACCTGTAGTCCTAGCTACTTGGGAGGCTGGGGTGGGAGGATTCCTTGAGCTGAGAAGGCGAAGGTTGCAGTGACAGTGAGCTGTGTTTGCACCACAGCACTCCGGGCTGGGTGACAGATTGAGACCCTGTCTCCAAAAAAAAAAAAAAAAGCCACTGGTTACTGGAAGCTAAGTGATGAACAATATAAGGAAAGGTAGAAAAGAATAAGCCATGTTTCATGTTTGTCATTCAGGGAAATTTAAAGCGGAATGGGGTCTTACATACTTTTTATTCTAGGCGTAACAGTCCAAATTGTATCCATCCTTTATCTACCAGTTTAATCCCTACCTCCTTCAAGCCGATTTTCTCCATAGATTTTGATCCCCAGAGTTCTTAACCTACCCTGCACTTGTAGTCTATTACAACTCTGATCTGACTACGACTGATCTTTTTTTCAGGTAACCGAAATCAAGACTTTTTAAAAACTATAAACAGCTACAAAATGCTAGTTACTATCATTATTCTCTAATTCTTTCACTAGTAATCTTCAAAAAAAAACAAAAACAAAAAGTTGTAAACCTAATCTTTCCACACCCTGCTTAAATCCTTTCAATCGTGTCCCGTTTTTCTTAGAAAAAAGGCATAAATTCCTTTGAATGTCCTACAGATCTTGCAATGTCTGGTTCCTGCTTATCCCTCTAGTTTCTTAAGAGGATAAACTTCTTCCCATCACTGAGCTTCTGCATGTGCAGAAGCCCTGGAAACCGTGTCCTTTACTCCTAGTTTGGCCTAGTTAGCTCCCGCACATACCAAAATCTGTTTTCACTCATCCCAAACCTGTTTTCACTCTCACTGAACCGTAACCGTGTTCCTTTGTGTGAGACGACTCATCTCGGTTTGTACTTATGTATCGTTGCTTTGATTATTGAACTGAGTATCTCTCCCACGAGAAAACAAACTCCATGAGATCGGGGACATTGCCATTCACATGCCTAGGAATACCAGGCACTCAATTGATACCTGCCGAATGTGTTAGGTTGCCTCTTCCAACCACACTGCAGGCATTCTGGCGCCCGCTTTGGCTGGACTGCACTCGGGGTGGCAGGAGGGTTGGGCGCGGAGGAACTACCCCGCGGATGAGAAAGAGGTTTTAAATGGGAAACATTCCTCAGTCGGCGGTCAGCTTCTCTGGTCTCGCGCGGCTCAAGCCATGCTTTGGGGGACGCTGGACGAAGGCTCTGGCAAAGAGGAATGCAGACCCCAGGATCCGCACTCGCCCCCAACGGCAGTCCGGATCGTCGACCCGGCACCCACCTCTCGAAGCAGCTTCAGGTCCCCGTGCTGGATCTCGTACAGCTGAATGACGCCGGTGCCCCGTGCGAAGTTGCCCATGGTCACAAATTTGGCGCTGCAGGGCACCCATTTACAGTCAAACACCGTGTAGTTGAAGCCCTTCTGGATATGGGCGATGATCTGAGGCTTCTCGAAGGCCGACATGGTGCAGCCGATTTCAGTTCTGACAACCGCCACACCCAAAGCCCCCCAAAACACTAACCTGGAAACCAGACTCCAAACATTGGCAATTTGTCCCTCCCGCTTTCCGTATTCTGCCCCAGATACCCTAAGAAGTTGGCTGTAGTTATCTCTAGATAATGCCAGATGCGCTCTGGCGATCGCACAGAATGTTCCTTCACAACAGCACAAATTTCTTTATTGCCTTTACCCACTGCCTTTCGCACACATACATATTAGAGATTATAAAATGCTTGAGCTCGGAGTTGCACGGCTAGAGTGAGACCATGAGCATCAGGCATACCTTAGGACAGCCGAAATCCCGTTTTCCCCCGGCCCCAAATCCTGCAGGTCCCCGGCCTGTGACGTTTTAGGAAAGGGGCGGAGCTGCGGGGTTAGTTGACGGAGGCTGGGTCCTGCGCGGTGCAGCAGGGCACGTGTTTCAGCCGGAAGCGCCTTAAGATTCCGGGGGATGGAATCCGAAATGGAAGCGCAGAGCGCCGGGGCAGAGGAGGGCTTTACCCAGGTCACCCGTAAGGGTGGCCGGCGGGCGAAGAAACGACAGGCTGAACAGCTGTCCGCAGCGGGAGAGGGCGGGGATGCGGGCCGGATGGACACAGAGGAGGCCAGGCCGGCGAAGAGGCCCGTCTTCCCACCCCTCTGTGGGGACGGGCTCCTGGTATGTGGCTAGGACCCTAGGACAGCAACCAGGCAGGGGCCAGACGCGGATCAAGCCGGTGGCCTCTGGGGAATGTTGAAGCTGCGGTGGGGCTGTTCTGCCGTGATGCTCAGAGAGAAGTGATTCTCTGAAGTGTAACTAGTTCAGTTAAAGGAAGCCCTTTATGGATCAGATGTTATTTTACAACTCCATCACCATCCCTCCATAGCCTTTTGAGTTGTGTGTTTTTTTATTACAGAGTGGAAAAGAAGAAACAAGGAAAATTCCAGTCCCAGCTAACAGATACACACCGTTGAAAGAAAACTGGATGAAGATATTTACTCCTATTGTGGAACATTTGGGACTTCAGATACGCTTTAACTTGAAATCAAGGAATGTAGAAATCAGGGTAAGGAAAATCTCAACCATTTCCCAATACACCAGGCTTTCTCTCCTACAGAGATGGAAAGGCGTGAGTAGACTTTAGTTAATGGGACCTATTGTGTTGAATAGTTTTTGTCCAGTTTAAAAACTTACCATATTGAGTTTGAACTTCCCAAATGCCTTAAAAATCTGCGTTTGATACAAATATTAATTGAATTTGTAAATTAGTTCTGAGATCATACCAAAATACTGTCTCTGCTTCTGTGTATCTTTTGTAATGTTCTGTGTCAAATTCAGAAAAGGTCGAGTAAAGAGATTGTCATAAACAGAAGTAAGTAAATAATGAACATAAGTACTTGCTGCTTTACAAGAAGTGTATACAGTCAGCGTCGGGGATATGTTCTGGGATATGTTTTGTAAGATGACTTAGTCCTTGTGCGAAGAGTGTATTTACGCAAACCTAGATGGTATGTGTATATTTATGTATTTTTTCATATGGAAAACCAAATGTTCCAGCACCATTACTGAGTATCAGTCATTTCATCTACTTGATCTGCATTGCCAGTGTCCAGTGCCATATATCAGATTTCTGTATATTTTCCATTATACTGTTATGAGACCACCATGGTATGAGCAGTTGGTCATTGATCAAAATGTCATTATGCAGTGCATGACTGTGTTTTAATGGTGCTTTTTTGATAAAACTGTATTATTTTGATAAGAAACATATGCACATATGTGTGTGTGTGTATTTTTTTTTTAATTTTACGCTTTCGCCCAAGCTGGCGTGCAGTGGCACACTCTCGGCTCACTGTTAACAGGTGCCCGCTACCACACCTGGCTAATTTTTGTATTTTTAGTAGAGACTGGGTTTTAGCATGTTGGCCAGGCTGGTCTTGAACTCCTGACCTCAGGTGATCCGCCCATCTCAGCCTCCCAAAGTGCTGGGATTACAGGCGTGAGCTGCCCTGCCCGGCCTATATATGTGTATTTTAAATTCTATGCTGTCAATCCAGGAACTAGACATTTAAAATTAATTTACTTTGGGCTTTCTGTTCTGGGTGCCAGTTTCATACCAGAATGTACATTTTTCAGTCATATCTTCAGTGCCTAAACTTTTCATGTGCTTTACTGTCCTATTTATTGCAGGATAATCACTTTGGATTCCACTAACATTTATTGATGCTGCCATATACCAGACACATAGTGGTATTACAACATGCTCTACATCATTTAGTCTTCAGGATATTCCCATCTTAAAGATGTGAGGAAACTTGGCCATAGTCATCAGGCTAATAAGGGAAACTTCCTATTATACTAGTAGGGAACACTCAGGATCTTCTCCTCTGACCTCCTTATTTTACTGATGAGAAAACTCAAGACCTAAAGTAACTAGGAGACTTGTCTAAGGTCACATGTAGGATTGGAACTAGGGTCTAGTTCTAAATGGGAAAGCCCCGGGGACTTTGCCATTACACAAGCCCATATGGTTTTAAATTTGTTGAGTACATGGTCTCCTCAACTAGATTGTGAATATGCATGGTACAGTGGAGATAACAATTTTGAAATCAGACCTGTGTTTGAATCTTAGCATTTTTGCTTTTTAGTACTTTAGTTTCCTCACATGCAAAGGTAGTCATATGACTTAACATTCAAAGTTGTTGTGAGGGTTAGAGTTATGGTGTGTAAAGCATGTTATTTATAGTGCATGTTATTTACAGTGTGTGTTATTTACAGTGGTAGGCATTTTATGAATAACAGTTATTTCTGCATTTCTCAAAGTTTGAGAACAGGTTCAGTGCTTCAGTCATTCTTTATTTCCCCAGTCAGCGGGTGCAGGTAGTTAGGCCTGGAGCTATTGGTTTAAGAAACATCAGCATGTAATTGATAACTAAGAAGATTAAGTCAGGAATCCCAGGGAAGACTGCCTTGAGAGAGAAGAGAAGAGGACAAGCTTGGGCATTGAAGGGATGGACAGAAGGTAGAGGTTCTTCAGAATGCAAGAAATTGGGTTGTGCCAGAGGAGTCTTGCTGTTAACCCCAAAATCTGATCATATAGTGTGGTTAGTTATTTGACACTCTTTGGGTGAAACAGCCAAGCTTTGGAGCTGGAAAGGTTTTGTTTTGCCAATAAAATATAGCACTTACCCAACCAGAACCTGTGTCATACAGAATATATTAGGGAAAGGTGGTGGTGAAGGAAATTCTCTGATAATGGGAAAGGACATTTCTAGTATTTCGTTAAGACATTTTCTGTTTGAGTCTCAACGGTATTTTGTACCCTTTTTTGTTTTTTAACAGACTTGTAAAGAAACCAAAGATGTTAGTGCTCTGACAAAAGCAGCTGATTTTGTGAAAGCTTTTATTCTAGGCTTTCAGGTGGAGGTGAGTAATTCTATGATATCTAAAATGGGGACTTGAAAAATACTCAATGTGAACATCTCAATGGATTAGGCATTAAAAAAAAAAAAAAAAAAAAAAAGGCCAGGCGCAGTGGCTCACACCTGTAATCCCAGCACTCTGGAAGGCCGAGGCAGGTGGATCACTTGAGGCCAGGAGTTCGAAACCAGCCTGGCCAACATGGCGATGCCCTCCGTCTCTACTAAAATTACAAAAAAATTAGCCGGGTGTGGTGGCACAAGCCTGTGGTCCCAGCTACTCGGGAGTCTGAGGTGGGACAATCACTTGAACCTGGGCGGCAGAGGTTGCAGTGAGCCAAGATCACGCCACTGCACTCCAGCCTGGGCGACAGTGTAAGACTATGTCTCCAAAAAAAAAAAAAAAGCTTTCTAGCTCAAGAGTTTGTGGATTTTCGTTCCATAGTGCTTTGCGCTTTACTCTTTTTCAGGTGTGCAAACGGAAGGGGCTTCACAGTGTTTGTTTTATATTATAGGATGCACTTGCCCTCATCAGGTTGGATGACCTCTTCCTAGAGTCTTTTGAAATTACAGATGGTGAGTGTGTGGTGGTCTGTGCTCTTGTGTCGCTGACTTTGTATTGTGATGTGACTCTCAGTTTTCTAATAGCATCAATTGAGCTGTATTTTTAGCAACTTTTTAATATGTATATATACATTTTGTGTCATTTAGAGAAATTTAGTTTATAATTAAACTTCATGTGGAAGTGGGTGGTGCACTAGAATGGCTTGCCTCCTGAGATGTTGCGTTTCTTGTTTAGTTAAACCCCTAAAGGGAGACCATCTATCCAGGGCAATAGGAAGAATCGCTGGCAAAGGAGGAAAAACCAAATTCACCATAGAGAATGTGACACGGACGCGGATAGTTTTGGCTGATGTGTAAGTATCTGATCTTGAGAAAATTATTGTCATAATTTATATTTGATCTTTTAAGAAAGTCGTAACAGTTGTATTTCATGTATAATGTTGCTGCTAAATCTTTGTCAGTACAGATGCTCCTCATAAACCCATTGTAAATTGAAAATATCAGAAGTCTAAAGTGCATTTAATATACCTGACTTGTGGAACATTATAGCTTAGCCTAGCCTATCATAAACGTGGTCAGAACACACATTAGCCTACAGTTGGGCAAAGTCATCCAACACAAATTCTACTTTGTGACAGAGTGTTGAATATTGAATACTGTACTAAAAATGAAAAACAGAATGGTTGTATGTGTACTTGAAGTAGAGCGTTCTGAATGTGTATCAGCTTTGCACCCTTGTAAAGTTGAAAAATCCCAGCTCAAACCATGTTAAGTTGGGAATCATCTGTATACTTTTGGGTGAATAGCCACCAACTTTGAAAGAGGCTTAAGTTGAGAAAATTTCAGAAATTGTGTATTTTCTCATTTAACAATGAGGAAATGTTACAAATGCTATTAAAAGAAATTATTATTACAGATGAAGATTTACATAGTATCTCGGGTTGGGCGCAGTGGCTCACGCCTGCAATCCCAGCACTTTGGGAGGCCGAGGTGGGTGGATCACCTAAGGTCAGGAGTTCGAGACCAGTCTGGCCAACATGGTGAAACCCCATCTCTACTAAAAATACAAAAATTAGCTGGGCGTGGTGGCGTACACCTGTAGTCCCATCTACTCGGGAGGCTGAGGCAGGATAATTACTTGAACCTGGGAGGAGGAGGAGGTTGCAGTGAGCCGAGATCGTGCCACTGCACTCCAGCCTGGGTGACAGAGCAAGACTCTGTCTCAAATAAATAAATACATACATACATACATACTCAAGGGAATCTATTAAATTAGTAGGGGAGAACAAGCAATCAGTATTTTGGATGCCCTTGTGAGTCTTTAGAAATATATATATCTATTTTATATATATGTTAAGGCCTTTTATAAAGCGAGGGGAATATCGTACATTAGGCAAAACTAGAGAGTAGTTATATGTGAACATAAATAAGATGATAGGAGCTTAAAATAAAGGTGCCAGAAGTGAAGCTGGGATTACCCCTGTCTGAGGTTGAAGCTGCCCAGGCTGGGGATCTTACTGGCAGATGGCTCAGAGATTATGTAATGCTGTGAAGTTGGGAAACTGAACAGTTGACTGAGAGGAGGAGGGTTCTGCCTGCGACTCAATCATGAAATAATTTCATTTAATATCTCAGTTTTACTCTAAACTGAAGGACTCCTTATTATATAAAATCTAAATTTTATATATTCTTTACACTTTAAGGATAACTATAGTACTGTGTTGGTGGCCCTCTTTACCTGAAGCCAGGAATATAATTTTATTTTTTGATCTTTATGGATTGAGTCTAGATTCAGAAATATGGAGGCTTGGGAGAAGCTATTCAAAAATGTGGAAATGCACACCATATGTAAAACTATGGCCAAGCATGGTGGCTCACGTCTGTAATCCCAGCACTTTGGAAGGCTGAGGCAGGTGGATGGCTTGATCTCAGGAGTTTGAGACTAGCCTGGGCAACATGGTGAAACCCCTTCTCTAAAAAAAAAATACAGAAATTAGCCAGGTGCGGCGGCCCACACCTGTAGTCCCAGCTACCTGGGAGGCCGAAGTGGGAGGATCGCCTGAGCCCAGAAGGTGAAGCTGCATTGAGCCGCGGTCATGCCACTGTACTCAACCGTTGGCGACAGAGTGAGACTCTAACAAAATAAAAAGAAAAATACCACATATAGTCTGGGCACAGTGGATTATGCCTATAATCCCAGCACTTTGGGAGGCCAAGGTGGGAGGAAGGATTGCTTGAGCCCCGAAGTTCAAGACCAGTCTGGGCAACATAGGGAGATCCCATCTCTACAAAAAAATACAAAAATTAGGCAGGCGTGATTGTGCACACCTGTAGCCCTAGCTACTCAGGAGGTTCAGGTGGGAGGATTGCTTGAACCCAGGATGTCAAGGCCACAGTGAACCATGATGGCACCCCTGCACTCTAGCCTGGGTGACAGAGTGAAACCCTGTTTCCAAAAAATAAATTAATTTTAAAAAATCCATATATAGATGCTCCTCACCGTATGGTGGGGTTATATCCAGATAAACCTGTTGTAAATTAAAGATCTCATAAGTCAGAAGTTCATTTGATATCATAGGATACTACTCTTTGAAAATTGAAGAGCATTCTGAATGCATATCACTTTGGCACAATTATAAAGTCAAAAAAAAAATCTTCAGTTAAGTCATGGACTGGCTGAGTAGCCCTGAAAGCTTTCATGAATTTGGAAATCCATGGCCTGCCGCGATGGCTCACATCTGTCATCCTAGCACTTTGGGAGGTCGAGGCAGGCGTATCACCTGAGGTCAGGAGTTCAAAACCAGCCTGGCCAACATGGTGAAATACAAAAAAACTAGCCTGGCATGGTGGCACATGCCTGTAATCCCAGTTACTTGGGAGACTGAGGCAGGAGAATTGCTTGAACCTGGGAGGCATAGACTGCAGTGAGCCAAAATCGCGCCACTGCATTCCAGCCTGGGCAACAGACTCCGTCTCGAGGAAAAAAAAAAAAAAAAAAAGGCCAGTGTGGTGCCTCACATCTGTAATTTCAGCACTTTGGGAGGCTGAGGTGGGTGGATCACCTGAGGTCAGGAGTTCAAAACCAGCCTGGGCGACAGACTCTATCTCAAAAAAAAAAAAATAAATAAATTTAGAAATCTAAAACTGTAACTGATTTGCCAATGAAATTATATAGTTAGTCTGTCATTAAGTTTATTACTGGTAAATTTATAAGTATATTTATAAGTGTTAACCTAAAATTTACTAGTTAAACCAACTTTTTAAAAGTTTATTGTGGCATAATTTACATACAATAAAATTCTCCTGTTTTGAGTATCCAGTTCAATGAGTTTTTGGCAAATGTTGTGTATTGTAGTCCCATGACACTCATACAGTTCTGTTACCCTGAAAGTTCCCTCGTGCATGTTTGTGGTCAATTGCCTGCCCCCACCCTGTTCCAGGACAACCACTCCTCTAATTTCTGTCACTCTTTATTTTACATTTTCTAGAAATTGATATAAATGGAAATATATGGTATGTAGGCTTTGGTGTGTGACTTCTCTTAATTAGCATGTTATTTTGAATTTCTCCATTTTGTTGGGTGTATCAGTAGTTCCTTTTTATTGGCAAGTACTATTTCATTGCACAGGTATACTCTTGACCCTTCAATATTGCAGGGATTAGGGATGCCGAACCCCCAACATGGTTGAAAATCCATGTATGACTTGACTCTCCCAAAACTTAACTACTCCTGCTTTTGGCTGGAAGCTATTCCAATAACAAATAGTTGATAAACATATATTTTGTATGTTTTACGTATTATATACTGTACTCTTTCATAAAGTAAGCTAGAGAAAAGAAAATGTTAAGAAAATTATAAGGAAGACAAAATCTATTTACTATTCATTAAGTGGAAGTGGATTATCATAAAGGTCTTCATCCTTGTCTTCATGGTGAATAAGCTGAGGAGGAGGAAGAAGGGTTAATCTTGCTGTCTCATGGGTGGCGGAGGTGGAAGACGTTGAAGGGGAGGCAGGAGAGGCAAGCGTACTCTGGAACTTTACAGAAATACATTGTAATTTCTGACTTTTTTGTGCTTTCCTTCTCTAAAAATGTTTCTGTAGGGTACCAGTCTTCCTCCACAGTTTGTTTAGTTTTAGTGCCCACATCATAAAAGGGTCTGTGTCATAAAAGATGTCAAAAGCATCTTGAATAATCAGAAACCTTCTGCCAAATTGCCTAATGTCACCTTGTTTTCTGACACTGCTGCTTCTACATCATCTTTCCTTATCACCCAACACTGCTTCAGAAGCACTCACCTCCATCAGGTCGTCTTCTGTTAATTCCTCTGGCATAGTGTCTGTTAGCTCTTGGTTTCTCCGAGATCTGTATCTTGAAACCCTTCACCCCTGATTTCTGGCCATATCCGCAGTCTCTTTCATGATTTCTTGTTTGGCTCTGTCGTAGATCCTGTACTGTTATGCAAAACCTCTGGACATGGTTTTCTTCAGCAGGAATTTATAGTTGCAAGCGTGAGGCTTTCACAGCTCTTTCCATAATAGTGACAGCGTCTTCAGTGGTTATAGTACTTCCAGACTATGATGTTCTTTCCATCGAGTTCTCTTCCATAGCATTGATACTGTTTTCCATAGAGCACTGTATGTGATGAACCTTAAAGATCTTTATGACTACCTGTTCTGGAGGCTGAATTAGAGCGTGTTTAGGTGCAAGGAGACCACGTTGTTGCCTTTCAGTGTTGAACTCATGGGGTTCTGGGTGGCTGGGACATTGTTCAATAGCAAAAGAACTTTAAAAGGCATTCCTTACTGGCAAGATACTTCCCGACTTCAGGGACAAGGCATTGATGGAATCAATCCAGAAAAGAGCTCTCCTTGTGCAAGCCATCCAGACGACAGGCCTCTGGCGTTACCTTTTCCCTTCAAGGATCAGGGTTAGCAGCTTTATAGATAAGAGCAGTCCTGATCATAAACCTGACTGCATTTGCACAAAACAGTAAAGTTAGCCTAGCCCTTCCTGCCTTAAATCCTGGTGTTTGCTTCTCTTCTTTACTAATAATTGCCCTTTGTGACATTTTTTTCCAGAACAGGACATTTTTCATCTGCACAAAAAACCTGTTCAGGCAGATACTATTTCTCCTCAATGATTTTCTTAATGGCGTCTGGGAACTTGTCTGCTGCCCTTTGGTGAGCAGAAGCTGCTTCTCCTGTTATCCTGACATTTTTAAAGCCACCTCTTTCTAACATTATCAAACCATCCTTTGCTGGCATTAAGTTCTCCAGCTTTAGATCCTTCACTTTCCTTTTGCTGTAAGTTGTCATATAATGACTTAATTTTTTCTCCATCATATTAGAGT